CCCCATAATTCGCAAATAAAAATATATATATATATATATATATATAATTTATGTGTTCACGATACACAGACTTTTCTCTTTTCTTTTCTGTCGAAATTTTTTCACGATTTTACGACGCTTGTCTGGCATATGTATGACCTGATCCTACTTACTGCCTCATGTGACTAGCCTTGATCTTTATCATGTAGCGGTTGGGGTCCAGAATATAGTATAAACACGTGAAACTAACAGAATTTGGTCTCCATTCTCTAGCTCGAGTTGCTGACTGTATCGTTCCTTGAGGTAAGTTATCTTCCGAATAATATAATTACAATTTACTGCCCATTATTGAAGAACTATTCCAGAATATGTTTAATTCGCTTCAAGATTTTATTAATTTTGTTTCTTCGTTTATCATTCATTAAGATAAATTAAATTATTGGTGCTCCTACCGTGGCGTGAGTTAACTTCTACACATTTAAGTGTGGTAGTTTCGATATAAAGAGATGAATTATTTTAATTATTATTATTATTATAATAGTAGTTATTTCAATTTAATACTTATTCTAAGACTGTCTTTAGCCTAACGGTAACAGGGTGTTTGACGTTTGGAACGGGTTATTTTCAGATGTGCTAGATACAATGGATTTTAGGAACGACTTGATAAATATTTTAATGATAAGTCCGGCTTTGAATTTTTTTTTTAAGTTTAGGATACTGAATGGGATGGCCAAGATAAACCTACAAGTCTCTTGTTGTCCTTTAATTGTATTAATGTATATATATTAGTGTTTAACTTTAAGCCGATTTTGAGTTGTTTTTTTTTTTAGTTTAATATACAGAAATAATGAACATAAGAGAGCATGATTAATTAAGTTAAAGAGCAACTTGTCGGATTCAACATAGTATCACGTAATTGGCGGTAATTCATTGGTGCTTTCGGAAAATTTCATATAATTTAGGGGTAATAGCTAAAGGAAAGTTTCATATAACTTAGGAGTAATATCTGCCAGAATAACGTTCGTAAAATTTAATAATATAGTTGTTCAAGTTAGGATGTTCTAAATTTTGTTCTTTGCTTATGTCCTGTATAACTTGTAAGGAGTTTTAACAGATGCCGCTGCAGACCAGAGACATGACAAATAACATAGGCTACTTATACAGGTGTTTTATTTTATTTGTGGCAGGTGTTTAGTTTTAAAAAGAAAAACTTTCCTCAACTGGGGTGTTCAAGGATATTAATAGTAATATTCCCCTTTCATCCCGCTCGTGAATTTTATTTTTAACAGAAGTGGGCTGTGTAATAACAGTATTAGGATAGTAGTATTAATTTCAATAACTATCGAGAAACATTAACAGCCTATATGTTGTATGTGTGGGTCATGGAGTCATTCCTTTGTCAGCAATAAGTTTAAATATTATATTTGTATGCATCAGTGGTATAATCAACATGCTTAAATCGAATACAATGCTATTGCAGTTATTCGTATAATATATATATATTTGTGTTTGTTTTTGGAATTTCGCGCAAAGCTACACGAGGGCTATCTGCGCTAGCCATCCCTAATTTAGCAGTGTAAGACTAGAGGGAAGGCAGCTAGTCATCACCACCCTCCGCCAACTCTTGG